GAGAGAGAGAGAAAGAGAGAGAGAGAGAGAGAGAGAGAGAGAGAGAGAGAGAGAGAGAGAGAGAGAGAGAGAGAGAGAGAGAGAGAGAGAGAGACACACACACACACACACACACACACACACAGAGACAGAGAGAGAGACAGAGAGAGAGAGAGAGAGAGAGAGAGAGAGAGAGAGAGAGAGAGAGAGAGAGAGAGAGAGAGAGAGAGAGAGAGAGAGAGAGAGAGAGAGACAGACAGAGAGACAGACAGAGAGACAGACACACAGAGAGAGAGAGAGAGAGAGAGAGAGAGAGAGAGAGAGAGAGAGAGAGAGAGAGAGAGAGAGAGAGAGAGAGAGATGGATTAATTTGCAGGAAGGACAAAAATATGGCTGACAGTATCCTTTCCTTCTACCTTCTATACATGGAAATGACTTAGGCAGTACATAAGTAGGGATATCAGCGAACACACTGCGCAGAGGGTTTGCGCAGTTATGATGTAATCGAATTTTGTACATGTGAGCATGCCAGGCGCGCGGCCAGAAAAGTCCAAGTCAGAAAATGAATATTTTTGCCGGGAAACTGGAAGGAGTCTTGATGGAGAAGAAGGAGAATGGCGGCTGAAGTCGGAACCTTGCGCTCAGGATCTGCCGTTTCGTTGATTGCTTCGTATATTCGCTGCTGGTGAAGGATTCGTGGGTAGAGAGTGACATGCCTACGGTAACAGCCACGCGATCAACTACAGATGAGCCGAGCCCCAGGACTTTCTTCAGACGAATTTTCGAATTTGTCCTTCGATGCCCAAGGAGCATGGGTGAATCGAAGGCAATTTTTTACAACGTTCCCACCGGAGAAATCTTCCAATTTTTGGTGAACTGGTACCTCACCCATGGATCTATCCATGTGCCAAGCAAGAAAAAAATTGACCGAAGCAATCCAAGGTCCCAGACTGCCAGAGGTCAAAAGTTCACAAGGTCGATCATTCAAGAAGAACTCAGGAAGATGAAGAAGCTTGGACGATCGACGAACATGGGCCTAGGCGCCTGTCGTCCTTCACCGATTTTTAATACTGTGTGTTTTGTATAAGTTCGTTAGTGTAATTGCTGGCAGAGGATGCCCAAAGTGAGGTGCACAGTAGTCGGACATCATCAGAATCGAAACAATGGGGGTCTGTTCACAGCAGTATGTGCTTTCAAATTATTCAAATGTAGGTCCGAGCCACGTTCGACCAGTCGCCATTTTATTTGCGTCAATTTTTTTGTCCCCGCCAGTACGTACATTGGTATGGTAGCGCTGAAAACTGCGCAAACCCCGTGCGCAGTGTGTTCGCTGATATCCCTAACATAAGAGTTGTTGCTGCTACTCGTGCATCTACGTGTCATTGCTGACTGTCCTATACTTTGACGATGGACAACAATTCACAAGTAAACACTCCTATCGCTAAAAATGCTAAAGATCCTAAAAATAAAGCCAAAAGCAAATAAGGTTCCCAAGAACGCAACCTGCTCTTCTTGTGGGCCAGAACGGTCACCGGGACACGGACTTCAAGCACATCCATGATCCACATAGCCAATCAAAATGCATGTGCAACACTACCACTTCTGTCCAGCTTTCTTGGTACGGCGATGAATGATCCCCAAGGATGCTCATACACAGCATACGTGTACAGTCAGTCGCTGCACCATAATTTTACAGGCTTCAAGAATGTTAGAATATCCACACAGCTGGTCCAATAGGATACACATTGTCATACGTGAATTCCACTTCCATGGTCTGTCCAGTTTTAAATGTTTGACGTAGCATGGCGATGAATGAATCCCACTGCTGGTCCACCTCTTGACTCGTACATCATCCACTCACTACATAAAGCCACTGTTTCCGGACAATGCTTTCTCGATTTCTGGAATCTTCTTCACGAGTTCCCGAAACTGCTCTTCACTGAGACTGACTCCTTTCTTCGTCGGAATACAGTTCCCATCATCCATCAGCTGGAAGTACCTGAGGTGAACATAGTTACGACCACCGTATTCTGTCACCTGGGCACGAAACAAGATCTTACTACGGTCGCCTACACCTTGGTGGATATCAATCCCTCCCTGGTCGTGCGAAGCACTTCGAGCTTGAATAGCTACCCCTCGCGGCAGTATACGACTACACTTCGAAGCAAAGTAACGGTTCATTGCTGCTCAAGTAACAAAGAGGAGTGTCCAATACTAAAAAAATCAGCTGCAAATATCGTGGTAATTCTCTTTCAAATAATTGCAGTGCGAATGGTCTTTTTCAAAGTACACTCAGAGTCATACCTCGGTTATCCTGACCCCGAAGTACGTAAGTAGTTAGTAGATATCCTTAGCTAAAAAAAACGCTAACGTAAACGCAAACCTTTCCGTACTTCGGATCGTTCAAGCTGACTTTTCCCTTAGCACAAAGTACGTTATAGTTGAGACGAAGTAGTCGTGACAACCATGGCGATATGAATTTTCGTGGAAACAGATGCGGGAAATTCAAAATTTTGAACCAGGGATTAGTTTGCTGTCGTTCCGAAAGAATACCTTGGCGAGGTCTTTTACTCTGGAATAGCAAAAGCACGGCGAAAATGAGTTTTCGCTGTTCCCAGGTCCTTGGAAACCCTTTCCTAAACGCAGCACCGAAGACTGTAAGGGTTCTCCAGCTCCAGCACGTCTGGGAGAGGCCGATGAATTTCTTCCTCTGGAGTGCCGTGGAACTGGTCCTTTGTTTCCCAGATGGGATAGAGGGGAAAGGCACGAAGCAGAGGACGCAGAAATTGTCAACTGAAAGGCCAAACTCGCCAAAAAAGCTAAATGTCACAAGAGGAAGCAATCTCGACTCTCGATCTCATCTCGATCTGCACGACGTGCTTTTCATCTCCCGCCAGTTACAAAACAATGCGAGTTTTTGCATTTTTTGCAGAATTTCCATAACGAACGTCGGCCCGTTATTTTGAGCTCTGTAACGTTTTTCCGTTATCCGATAACGTCTTTTGTCACGGCTGGGAGTGAGTACCGTAAAGGTTAGCGTTATCGTACTTTTGCTAAGGATGTCTAGTTACGGGCACTTCGGTCTACCGCGCACTATTTGGGCGAGTTTCAGGGGAAATATTTACTACTCTTTTGTCACTTTTCGCAGAAATATTGACGTCATATGCCATATCGATGGCCTTTTCCCCATCAAGATCAGGGAGCCCTACACATACTCGTACCAGAAAGAAAGAAGTTTTTGATTCTCTGTGCTCACATAACTACAGTCTACTGTACACAGTTATGTACTCTTGGTACCAGCAAGAGTCCATAACCCCCGGGGGGTTATGGACTCTTGGTACCAGCCATCTAATGTATGTAAGGGGCTATCGCAGCCAAAGAAGCAACCATGGTATGAAATCTAGACGACTTTTGTATAATTATGCAAGTGTCTTAGTTACTAACTTAGGGCGCGTTTGGTTGGTACGAACTAGAACAGGATTCACCAGAACAGCGCGTTTGGTTGGGACTGCACCTGTTCTGGGTCGGCCAGAACATGTTCTGCTTGCTGGATCCGGCCTAGCCAGTCCGTGCGCCAGTTCAGAAAAAGTCGTCTTAGGGTGCGTTTGGTTGGTACGATCTAGAACAGGATCGAACAGCTGGTGCACATGGAGCAGCCTCATGCCAACCAAACGCTACTCCAGAAACAGAGCACATTTTTGTGGAAAAATGTGCCAAACTTGGTGCATTCTTCAAAATGTGTATGGATCACCATGGTCACTTTGTACGGTACGACGAGTCCAACCCAAAAGCGTATGCACGTGATCATTTGGGAACAAAATCGATGTTCCCGCCAGGTTTCACTGTGAAAAAGTGAAACTGCTCGGTCTGCTCCGGCCTCGAGGCCGGAGCAAGCAGAACATGTTCTGGCCGACCCAGAACAGGTGCAGTCCCAACCAAACGCGCTGTTCTGGTGAATCCTGTTCTAGTTCGTACCAACCAAACGCGCCCTAAAAGTTGCACTTTTATTTTCCAGATTTGCCAGATTTCGCAGTTTTCTCAAGATATCGCGAGACGAATACTCAATGGCGTCTCCTTCGTCGTCCTTTGGTTTACGTCCCCCGTGAGTTCTTTGTCTCAGATCGTTGTCGAAATCCAACCTAATAGTTGTTCTCTGCCCTAAGTTTTGTCCGTGGCGATAACAAATAACGAGAAGTTGAGTTCTCGCTCGTCGCTTGCGTTTTCGTTATGTCGCTGATATTTTGGTTGGACATGCTATAATTTCGTGCCGTTGGTTTGTACAAGGGTTTCGCTATTTCCTGCTTATTTATTTAGAAAGAGATATTAGCCAACAGTGCATCCTCCAATTTTGGCTTGTGCAAAATATCCGACAGCGGTGATACCAACCGTTTTGTCAACACTGTATTTTTGACACATTTTGACACACACATGTCTTCAATTGGTGTACTAGGAACGACCGACAGAATCGTTCAAGGGGTCCTAGTATTCTGCGATGTACCAGCCAGACCATTGTATTCGTAGACCACGAATTTATAAACAACACGAACCTCAACAGGTTGCTGGAGCTCCAAACACAAACCCTCGTAGATCAATGCATGTGCTTATACTTGTATGTACAATAGCAACAATATCAAGCCAAATACAGTACTGAGGTGGGAAAGAAATATAAATAATTCATGCAGAGAGGATGACACTACAAACACAGCACCCGAGCCAATGCAGAATTGAAGTGAAAAAATGGCATCTGCGGATGGCCTGGATACGGTGCTACTATGTACAGAACAACCGCCACAAGCTATGACACATAAAGTCTCGTACCTTCATTCACGGCGGACGCATGGAGCAAAGAATACGTTTACCATACACCCGTACATACATCACGTTTTCATGCGCTTTTTTCAACAGACCCGCACACGTCGGCATGTACATGTAAACGCACAGACATGTACACGGACGTACATGCACGAACATACACACCCATAAACATGCACACACATACACACACACACGCGAACATCCGCTAAAGTATGGGAGCATATGTGCACAAAGCATCACTTGATTGCATTCACAAGTTTATACAAGACAGCCAGGTAATGCCATGCATACTTGTAGTTGTGTGGTAGCTGCTACAACAAATGGAGCATTGGCTAAATATTGCAATAAGGAGAGTGTTATGATAGTCATGCAAAGGTTCTGCTGTTATCAACGAAGTGCACGCCTCTCGTGCTAAGTTCAAGATCCATTGTACTCTTCTTTGCAACATACTTCGTGCAACTTGCATCCAATCGTGGGCATCACGAGTCAAGGCAGCAGCCACATGGACCAGTAAGATTCACTGATATTGAGGGTTTGGACCAGGGTGCTGTTCCGATCAAACTTGAAATAACACCTTGTTGAGCTGGGTCTTCCCCACTGGCACAGCCACCTGGTGTGGCCCTACCATTAGTGGTCTCTGCCCGTTGCCTTCATTTCATTGGTAGGGTTGTGTTTGACGAAAAGCCCACTTGACTGCCTTCCAGCATATAGCTTTCAAATGTAAGTGTGATGTATTGATATCACAGACATGCTGACGTTTGGTACATGCCTCAAGGCTAGTCAATAGAATTGATAGTCATACATCACTTCAAGCTAGGACCACTCCAGTGGGAGAAATGAGGTGATCCACTGTTGTCCACTGGAAGCGTTTGACCCTGTTGATCATGGTGATATCTACATAGGCATCAATACACAGCCGGAAAGTGAAGTGTGCACACACAGACGCACACACACACACACAGTGACACACACACGCACACAGACACACACACACGCACGCACACACATACCAAGCAGCATAGCACCACAATTTCCACCATGTAAAGCAGCAAGTATCGCCCCCCAAGCATGTGTATGCACAGAGTACATGATTATGCCACAAGGGATTTTTTATATATTTGAATGCAGGTGCACAGACCCTGGGTCATTGGCATTGGTCATGGGTTTCATATTCATGTCCTGACTATAAATTGATAAGTCAATAATAATTTTGCTCTTCTGTTTCATGCATTGTGTGTAAAATACCAATATACAGGCAAATTGTGCTAAAGTACCATACAGCTCTGCATCAATTTTGCCAATGCTGTTTATTGTACATTGTTCACAATCGCTGCCATTTCTCATAAATAATATTGTCATGCAGTATAGTTACGAAATACACCGCCAGGATGCCATAATACAAAGATGGCTACATTTTTTCAACCAACATGCAATTATTGCGAAAAAATAAATATTTCCATAATTTCGTGCCGTTGGTTTGTACACAATTTCAGGGCTAAAATAACCTTACCCTGTCATGGCGATATCTCTGAGGAGTTGAATTCACCTAGTCTCCCTTGTGCAAAAAATTCCCTCGTGGTGCTGCCAGCTGCAATGTAATGGCAACCCAGAATAGGGTGAAAATCGAAAACGATAAATTCCTCGCCTCCCGTCCATCCAACTGCGCTGGTTGCATCAAGTACGATGTTTAGAAGACGAGTGGCATCCGACTAACGACTGGCAACATATTTCTTGAAGAAGGAAGCCCTCATTTCACCGACTGGCCTCGAGGTAGGCAACAAATCGACCAACAATTTACTGACCGGCGTCGTCATCTTTCCCTGCATAACGTCTGCATGTATGGTTCCCGCGCAGAAAATAAAAATCGGGCCAAAACAGGGTCTGGCGCACGGACTGTAGCTAGCCTGAGCGCCTCGATCGAGGCCGGAGCAGACCGAGCAGTTTCACTTTTTCACAGTGAAACCTGGCGGGAACATCGATTTTGTTCCCAAATGATCACGTGCACACGCTTTTGGGTTGGACTCATCGTACCGTACAAAGTGACCATGGTGATCCATACACATTTTGAAGAATGCACTAAGTAAGTTAGCAAATTTGGCACATTTTCCCACAAAAATGTGCTCTGTTTCTGGAGTAGCGTTTGGTTGGCATGAGGCTGCTCCATGTGCACCAGCTGTTCGATCCTGTTCTAGATCGTACCAACCAAACGCACCCTTAGTTGTGTTTTTCTGACTCCGTATCACTGCACCCAGGTAATAGTCCAGCGGCCCAAACTTCAAAAAATAATTCCGTTTCAGTCTCAAGCAGACAACCTGGGTTCTTCACTACGGCCTAAAGTATGTATACCTGACCTGGATTCCGCTTGTTGTCATCTTCAGAGTTAGGGCAGAAGCTCAGGAGAAGCCAATTTCTCCGCTCTCGTCGGCGATACTGCGCACCATCTGGGGGTGCACAGTTCACGGAAAGGAGCGCCTTTTTCAAATTTTTGAAGATGACGACGACACCGACAGGATACTCTTTGAAATGTAGAATTGCATTTTCGTTTGGTAGTTGCATAGTAGTTGCGTTTCGCGCTGTTTGAGTGCCTCCTGCCCACCGCTCACAGCATGGTCGACACCTTTTGACATGATGGAGGAAGAGGCCGTGGAGCTTCTTAGGCCTCGTCCTGGGAATGGCGTTGTATCGCGGGAATTTTGCTTGTGCCATTGCGTTCAATGCATCGCAGGAAAAGCAAACCCGATTTACTTTGCAGAGTTGGGAAACTTTGTTTGAAGCTGCTAAATGCAGGCAGGACGAGCTATACCTCCTTGTGCGAGAGCCACTGCACCGAGGAGAGCGCCCGCGGATGGTACCACCGCAAGTGCTACAGTACATACACTAACAAAACGTTGCTGCCACTTGGACGTGGCCATGACTTTTCAAGCCATTCTGAATTGGAGGAGATACATGTGTGTGATGATGGGACACCATGTACCAGCAAAGCGTAGAACAAGGAGAGATGTACAATGATTGAATCCACATCTGCAGACTTGTGCCTCATGACATGTGCATCTAGCAGAGTTGGAGAACAACGCAAGAATTTTGGCTTTCGCTCCAGAATGGCCCAGATTGCGTTGCAGCGGAAATCCACTATAAACGTCGGAGCATGCTACAGTGCCTTCACCCATCTGGCCACTATGCACCGGCAACGAAGTGGCAAAGGGAGTGACCAGCCGTCGGCCTACGAAACATTTGACAGCCTGGTGCTGTATATACAGTCCGAGTTGAAGTCTGCAAGGGCCTTGCCCATGAAGCTTCTCACGGATAAGTACAATAACTGCAAACGGCACCAGCTTTGCCGACCATCACACTCCGCCTTAGTATCCAACTTTCATGCTGAAAAAGAAGATAATGAGCTTCTTGGGGACCAGGTGAGTTCTTGGCATTGTTGAATGTGTAGAAATAATTTGATCATGTTTTATTGTTTGGTCATGACCAAGGAAATCCAAATAATACATACGCTCAACTACAAGATCACATGATCGCATGTACACACCAGATCATGAGTCCAGACTCAACTCATGCACAGCAACTAAAAGCTGCTAAGTTCATTTCACACGCGCGTTCGGGAAACGGCACATGCTGCATGCATAACATAACATGATGCGCTACTATGATGAATGTCTGGGTGGCCAAGGAATGCCACAATGTGTATGTAGACGTGAACACTACAGTGCCTGACATCTACAACATAGGAATGTATTAAATGGAATGCAAGTGTTCATGCTCATGTAATGTGGTAGTCTTCTTTGGTTGAATTACGTTCTTGGCTGTTACACGTATTATTACGACCAGCTTGGCTCTCGCGCTACTTCACACGGTACACATGTAGGTCAGAATAAATCAGGGCTTGTGGTCCGAGTCAGAGTAATGTCCAAAGCTGACGTCAGTATTCTAGGCTGACTGTATGCAAGAAGAGACAGAATTATAAACTGGTTGTTTTCTAAACACAATTGTATAGCCCGTGATAACACAGACATGCTTCCCTTTTTTTTAAGGATCGAATTTCATTGGCGTGTTTCATTAGCATTTTGTGTTTGAACTGTGTGTTTCCTTCAGCAATTGACATGTATGGTAAGTGGCATGGGTATACAGGCGCACTCTTCACGGAGCAACCACTTGTCTGTGTCGTCTGCAAACGGTCCGATGGCCGGTAATACCCAGTCATTGACGAACAATCATACTAGTAACGCACCTGGCCCGACTCCAACCATCCCAGTCCAGCCGGTCGCCGCAGATTTCCTGCCCGTATCCACGTCCACTCCGCACCCCAGTGTCCGGCAAGAGAACGGGCCCAATGCCAGGAGTTACGACGGGCCCAGTGCCAGGAATTACGATAGGCTCACTGCCAGGAGTTACGATAGGCCCGCTGCGATATCCGCTGGGCTTGTCCCCGCCAATGTCGTGTTGCCCACTCATTTCGGCTTCAAAGGATCCGCTACTCCGCCGCGCCAGGTGAACACCAGTGGATCAGTTTCATCTCTGGGTACTACATCAGCCTCCAGTACAGATGTGTCGGCTAGTACGGCTTTGACTACAACCTCGGGTGCGAGGCAATCAGTGGCGGCTGCGGTGTCTTCTACAGCGCC